TGTAGCCAGGATCAAGGATCTCACTGACAGTTGCAAAGAACCCTAAAGCAGAAAGGTCAACAGCCAAGGGCTGTGGTCCACATCGTACCACGACATACGTAGAAGGAGAGATAAGTCATGAGTTCAAGATTTAGGGGGCTAAGAAGGAAATAAGCAAGGACCATCCCTGGCCATTTTCTTTGCTGTTGTCACTGCATTTTCAGTTTTGATTTGTAGCTGATTTACTTTGAGCGAGGAACAAAATGTGAAGAAGAAGCTGTGAAGCATCCGGAAATAAATACTACAAATAAGATGAGTGCATTAGAACAAGGCACATATTTGCATTAGTACATCTATTTGTATATATACATACGTAGTGAATTGAATAGTGATTGCTCTGAGAAAAAAATGGTATATAATTATCAATGACAGAGTTTCAGCAACTGACTGTAAAAAACCCTACAAATTCCAGGTCTTTTGACTTCTTGATTCTACTTTTCTTACCCCTGATTATTTTTAAACTTCCATTTTTTTTTAGTGCCAATCTTTAATTAAAAGCTAAAACCCCTTCTGTCATTTGAAAAAGGCTGCAGAAGTTGCTTACTATGTATATCATTAGCTGACCAGGTTATATCAACAAGCAAGGCAAGTCATGTGAAATAAATTTAGAAATTTTAAAAAAATATCAAATGAAGAAGTGTAAAAGGAGTGAAATAAAGTGGGAAATGAAAGGTCACGGAAATATTTCTGAGTAGGTATAATGGAACAAGGATGTTACCTGTCAAATACCCGTATATTCGTGGAATTATAGGCATTTACATCGGTTAGGTATGGCAATACTTATCTATGCCAACCTCATTGATGACATTAATTATAATATTAAACATAAATTAAGTACAATAAATAGACTGAGAGAATATTGTCATTTAATTATTTATGACATGGGATACGATAATAAGTTTTTTTTATTCATTCATGAGATGTGGGTTTCACTGGTAAGGAGAGCATTTTATTGCCCATATCTAATTGTACTGGAGAGTCTCACAATGCCTGCATGTTTAGGGTGGTGTTAAATACTATAGTGCATAGCTATAAAACAACATGGGTCAATTGCTAATCATTGCAATTCACATTGCAGTTTTAACAGTGCTAAATCCATGGTTATTTAATTGTTTTTTTGCACCTTGATAAAGTGACAGTTTTGTCTTAACACCACCATTGAGTTTTTTTAAAGAGTTCTGGCTAAAAAACTGAATTCCTCACATTTTGTTTTTTAGAAAAACTTCAATTTTATTTTAATATCTTCCATTATTGCTATGAATTGTTTTGTCAAAAGGTACACACAGGAGGATAAATGACTTGCGCTTTAAGCAAATGTCAAGATCTGTGATCTCGACGTCTCATCAATACCAGTGTCGCTTAATTATCTCTTAGATAATAGGCCGACTGCATGAATTTTTCTCAGCTTTTAAACGAGAACAGTGGAGTGGGAATGAGAATACTTCATGGCTCCAGACAAAACCCAGTTGAAGGTTGAAAAATTACGAAAGTGATTGGCAAAATAATTCTAGAGAAGGATCATCGTTAATAATTCACCATCGCCGTTGCTCACAATAACTTAGAGCTGCAATGTTTTATAAAGGACAAGAGTGATTTATTGTATAAAGCACAATGAATTATTCAGTTGCTAAGCAGGATCTATGTTAACGTACCCTGAAGCTCTAAGACAAATACAGTCTAATTGCTGTAATAGGCACATTGTGAGTTCAAGATAATTGTTTACGTTCTTTTGCAATCTATCTTTTTTCAGATGCTATTTATTTATTAGTAGTTTCTATATGGGCTTGTTTTTCAACCTGCAGTTGTTTTATCAGGAGCAAACATAACAAAGATTTAAGCTGTGACACTTTGTAGGGTGAGAAAACTCTACTACAGCAGTTAAGTATTGTAAACTATTGCTTTGAATTTGAGCATGTTAACCAATACCTGTTTGAGAGAGATAAATTGACAGTGGAGTCTGATTGTAAAGTCACTTCAAAGCATCTTCCTCAAATTACTTCTATTTATTCCAAAATGTTTGCAATATAAGTTATTTCATATCAAGGGATATCATCTTCACAAGACAAGGAATGTAAACAATAAAGTCACCTTCCAGAGTTATGCCAAAAAGACAGGACTTGGAGCAACTATTATTTTGCAAGGATAACAAGTTGTATTTGCATTGAGGTTGGTGAATAGTGGCGGATAATTAAACGACTCACTGGAGGTATAGTCTTCACAAACATACCCATCATCAATTACGGGGCAGCCCAGCAAATCGAATGAGAAGCCTGAAGCATTTGTAGCAATGTCAGCCAGAAATGCTGACTAGATGATCCATATGGCCTCCTCCAGGTGGCCAAAGCACCACAGATGACAGTCTTTAGTCAATTCAATTCACTCCTCATGATATCAAGAAATAGTGACAGGTACTAGACACTACAAGGACAATGGCCCGGACAATGTTCTGTCAATTATACCGATGACTTATGCTCCAAAGCTTGCTGTGTCCCTAGCCAAACTGTTCCACTAGCTAAAACACTAGCATCTACCTGACAATGTGGGAAATTGCCCAGGAATTTCCTGTACACAAGAATCAAGATAAATGTAACCCAGCCAATACTGCCCCTTCAGGCCCTTCTGGATCAAAAATAAAGAGATGGATTAATTCCCACTTACTTGGAGGATTGCAGCTCCAACAATAGTCAAAAAGCTTGACACCAAAGACAAAACATCCATAAACATCCACTTCCTTCAACAATAGTACTATCAAGCAGCACTTGGTTTAGCTATAACCTGCTTATTGATGTTCACTTTGGGTTCAGCCAGGGCCACTCAGCTCCTGATCTCACTACAACCTCGGTTCAAACATGAACAATAGAGCTGAATTCCAGAGTTGATGCGAGAGTGACTGCCTTTGACAACAAAGCCACATTTGACCAAGGGTGGCATCGAGGAGCCATAGGATTGTCATTGGTTCAAATTCCTGGAACTCCCTCCCTAAAGACATTGTGGATGTACCTGCAGCAAACGGATTGCAACAGTTCAAGAAGGCAGCTCACCACAAATTTCTCCAGGGCAACTAGGCATCGACATGAATGTATTTTTTTTATTAAAAAATCCCCACAAACCCTCTGTTACCTCATAAAAAAAACTGACTGACATGTGGTTTCTAGTTTTATCATTACAAATTTTAAAACAAGATTCTATCATTTGCACTTATCTGGTACCACTTTCTGTATCTAATGAGGATTGGAAGATTATGACAAGTCCCCGCATTATTTCCACTCTTATTTACCCCAACAAGCTCAGATGGATCCCATCTAGTCCTGGTAATTTATCAACTTTATTTACAGACAGCTTTTTAAAAAATTCCTCTTTTACTAATATTTGGCCCATCCAGTATTTCAACTATTTCATCATTCACTATAAGTTGGCAGAATTTTTGTCCTTGGTATGTCTGCCTCTGTACTTTGATTCCCTTTTGTCTCTTTAGCACCTTAACCCCACCCCCCTTTCTGCACTTGTACTACCTAAATTTCTATAGACGACTTAGGATTCCACTTTATGTTAGCTGGCAGTGTCTTCTCTTGCACTACCTGCGCATCTCTTATTTTTACAATTTCCCTCTGAGGTTCCACACATTTAATCTGGTTTTAACGTGTGTTATCAACCTGGCATCTGTCACAGGCACCCTCTTTCATTTTCACCCTACTCCATATTGTTTTTGTTATTCCAGAGGCTCCAGCTCTGGTTAGCCTGCATTTCTCCCCCAGAAAGACATACATTCATTGCACCCAAGTGCAGTCTACTTACTTCAAATAGTAAAACACCTTTTTATTCCTGTTTACTATTGTAGAAACATTATTTAAGGCAATTATTTTCACTAAAAGACAATGTAACTTCGAATTATTTTCAGTTAATTATAGCAAGCTAATTAGATCACTTGTTCTTGTTTATATTTAGTGTTATCTTCAAGAAGCTGAACACATTATATTAGAATACTGGGACAACGGGAGGTCGGTTCACTCATTAGGCCTGTTCTGCCATCCAAAAAAACCATGGATGATCTACAGTCTAACTCCACATACTCACTGTTACCATATATCCATTCATGTCTTTGTCTAACAATGCTTTATTGATCTCAGTTTTAAATTAACTATTAATCTGACATCAATTGCTGATCCTGCAAGAAAGAGCCTGTCCTTTGCTTAAAGAAGTGTTTCCTAATTTCACACTTGAAAGATCTCTGCCACCCAGTCTTTGACTCTCCAACTACAAAATTTTTCTCTATCCATCCTATCTGATCCCCTTATTACGTTGAAAATGTCAATCACCCTTTAACATTCTAAGTGCTAAGGAGTACAACCCTAACTTATGCAGGCCAGGTATTGTTCTGATAAAGAACGAAAACAAAGTTGCTGGAAAATCTCAGCAGGTCTGGCAGCATCTGTGAAGGAAAAAAACTTCTGTTCTGAGGAAGGGTCACCAGATCCGAAACGTTAACTCTGTTTTTTCCCTTCACAGATGCTGCTGGACCTGCCAAGCTTTTCCAGCAACTTTATTTTTGTTCCTGATTTACAGCATCCGCAGTTCTTCCGGTTTTTATCATTCTGATAAACCTATGTTGCACTCCCTCCAAGACCAAGACCAACGTATCCTTCCAAAGTAATCTCCTCCCACCTCTCTGGTATTGCTATACATTGCTAGTGAATCATTCATTCTTGCAACTAATTTCTACCTCTATCCACACCAATCTAGATTCAGGTCCTGACATGACTTGGTATTAAATCATGTAATCATTATCAAATGGTACTAATAACAAGCAGAGATTCAACTGTTAAAGACAGATTTGAGGATTGGATGATCTTTATAATAGGTTTGAAAACATCAGAATCCATTCTTTGAACAAAATGAAATTCACTATTGCTAATCGACAATAGAAATGTCACATGAACTGTTCTTTTGGTTTTATTTTGCAGCAAACCTCAATCGATTTTCTCCTATGATGCAGGGCCCAATGGTCTCACAACAAAAGCAACAATGGTCAGCACACCCTCATTTTCCTGGGTCCCACCAGGCAGACTCAGTAACCAAGGCAAAAGGAGGCAACAGCGGAGGTGGCAACAAAAGCTTCATGACCCAGATCATACCGGTGTATGGATTTGGATTGTTCATGTATGTTCTGTACATCCTCTTCAAGGTACTGTGGGCATTAATTATTACATGGCCTTATGATGCAAGCTGATTTTAAACCAATAAATGTTTCAGACTTCCATGTTTTCTTTTTTATGTTGTATTAGTCCTTTGTAAAATTAGTACCAAAACCAGACGTTTAAAAAAGGATAAAATGAGACAAGTTTTAAGAATGGGAGATGAAACTGTCCTCACTGTCCACGGGTATAGTGCCAGAAGATTGGAAAGAGGCAAACGTTATTCCCTTGTTCAAAAAAGGGAACAGGGATAACCCCAGAAATTACAGGCCAGTTAGTCTTACGTCAGTGGTGGGCAAATTATTGGAAAGGGCTCTGAGAGACAGGATTTATGATCACTTGGAAAGGCACAGTTTGATTCGTGATTGTCAGCATGGATTTGTGAGGGGTAGATCATGCCTCACAAACCTTATTGAATTCTTTGAAGAGGTGACCAAACACGTGGATGAAGGTGGAGCAGTGGATGTGGTATACATGGATTTAAGTAAGGCGTTTGATAATGTTCCCCATGGTAGGCTCATGCAGAAGGTAAGGAGGCATGGGATAGGGAAAAATGTGGCAGATTGGATTCAGAATTGGCTGACCCTTAGAAGACAAAGAGTGGTAGTGGACGGAAAATATTCAACATGGTGCTCAGTTATGAGTGGTGTAACACAAGGATCTGTTCTGGGTCCTCTTCTATTTGTGATTTTTGTAAATGATTTGGATGAAGGAGTGGAAGGGTGGATTAGCAAGTTTGCGGACGATACGAAGGTGAGTCACGTTGTGGATAGCACGGAGGGCTGTTCTAGGTTACAAAGGGACATCGATAGGATATAGAGCTGGGCTGAGAAGTGGCAGATGGAGTTTAATCCTGAAAAGTGTGAGATGATTCATTTTGGAAGGACAAACTTGAAAGCAGAATACAGGGTTAACGGAAAGCTTCTTGGCAGTGTGGAGGAGCAGAGGAATCTTGGGGTTCATGTCCACAGTTCCCTGAGAGCTGCCACCCAGGTGGATAGAGTTGTTAAGAAGGCATATGGTGTGTTAGCTTTCCTTAACAGAGGGATTGAGTTCAAGAGCCATGAAGTTATGCTCCAGCTATACAAAAGCCTGGTTCGGCCACATCTGGAGTATTGTGTCCAGTTCTGGTCATCTCATTACAGGAAAGACGTGGAAGCATTAGAAAAGGTGCAGAGGAGACTTACCAGGACGTTGCCTGGAATGGAGGGAAGGTCTTATGAGGAAAGGTTGAGAGAGCTAGGGCTTTTCTCTTTAGAACGATGAAGGATGAAAGGTGACTTGATAGAGGCGTACAAAATGATCAGAGGTATAGATAGAGTAGACAGCCAGAGACTTTTTCCTCGGGTAGAGGTAGTTTTTACGAGGGGACATAGTTTTAAAGTGAGTGGAGGTAGATAGCGGGGAGACGTCAGAGGTAGATTCTTTACTCAGAGAGTGGTCAGGGTGTGGAATGCATTGCCGGAGAGGATAGTGGAGTCGGTCTCATTAGGGGCATTTAAGAGGCTATTAGATAGGCATATGGATGATAGTATAATGTGGCGGTGGAGGTTAGATAGACCTTAGGTTTAGGGTAAAAGTTCGACACAACTTCGTGGGCCGAAGGGCCTGTACTGTTCTATGTTCTATGAAACATAATCAAAGGAAAATGGTGAGAGATGGGTTAAAGGTCCAGCTGTTACAGTTTCCGATTTAGTGTGGACAGGGGTTGCCTGGGATTCATTACTGTGTAATTGTACTTATGGCTTTTGTCATAGGTTAGACCTCCAGCTGCAAAAGGTTGGATATTCCCTCCACCAAGAAAGATAACTAGATATTTTTAGCAATAGGGACAGATGGCATCTTGGTGCAGACAATTTGCTTGAGTCATGTGAGAAAAAGATGAAAACTTTGTAAACACTGGATCACAAGAACATAAATATAAGGGCTTATATTAACCTCTCCATGCACTCTCCTCTGCTGCAATGAAAATGCTTTGTTGGGAGCAGTAAGATGGCCTTCCCACTAGGTTCTGGCCCTTCTTCTTTACTTGCCTGAATTAAGACACAGGAAGTGTTTCTAACTCAGGTGAGCAATGGCCTGATTTAAATAGCAGAGTTATATCTCAGTTTGTAGTAATTGCTGGTGTTTCCATGCGTAACACAAAATGAGAGATGGGAATTCCATTTATTTGAAGATCTCTGGTGGGTTAACTTACAGCAAAACTAGTGCAGACAGTACAGGGTAATTTCTAGAAACATCCTCTGCCTAGGTGCTGTGAAACAGACCAAATGCGGTTCCTGGACATATGATGACATCCAGGTACTTAGCTCGTCATTATCAAGCGATAACTAAAAATCCTTTTGATTTAATGAAATAGCTCTTGGATGTTACGAGTGAAAAGACAAACATTGGATAAAACCAAAATTAGTTGTACAGAGAGCGGGTTTGTAAAATTTACCAGCTCAGAGGTAATGACACTGCAGAAGTATAAGACTCCATAAATCATTTCAGCAACACTTCCAGACCTTATTCTGCTGCAATCTCCTAGAGATTCAGAATTTTTCTTTGGCTATTTCTTGTCAGTGTGTCGATTGTTGTCCCAATGTATCATCATCCAGTCATTGTCTTATTGTTTTCTTTCATGTCCACTGTGTACAATTGGCACATTGTACAATTAGCTTTGCTAGCTCTGCTCTTCCTCAACATTGCTCCACCGGATATTTTAAAGTTCTAAGACCTAGACAAAATGAGACCTTGAATATCTGTGTATGTAACAATGTTCCCAGTGTGGAATGTGTGATTCTGACCTTTTCACTGAGGTTGAGCTGCACGTTTATGGTAGTCAGGCACCAGCTCCATCCTCTCTTGCTCATTGAGACACAAGTCTTGAATCTCAGTGAATTTGTATAGATGGTGCCTTGGCAAGATTGTACCCACTTGCTTTAGAAATATGACACAAAGAATATCAGAGAAAGAAGAGTCCATTCAGCCCGAAAAGGTTGCTTTGCCATTCAATATGATCATGATGGATCCTCTCTCAATGACAATCTCCTGCTTTCTCACCATACTCAAAGAGTCATAGAGTCGTACAGCATGGAAACAGACCTTTTGGCCCATCTAGGCCACACCAAACATGTTCCCAAACCAAACTAGACCCACCTGCCTGCTCATGGTCTGTATCCTTCCAAACCTTTCCTATTCATGTACTTATCCAAATGTCTTTTAAATGTTGTAACTGCACCTGCATCCATCACTTTCTCTGGCAGTTCATTCAACATAGTACCCACTCTGTGTAAAATAAGCTAACCCTCATATTCTTTTTAAGTCTTTCTCCTCTCACATTAAAAACATGCCCTCCAGTTTTGAACACCCCCACCCTAAAGAAAAAACCCTTGCTATTCACCTTATCTATGCCCATCATCATTTTATAAACCTCTATAAGGTCAACTCTCAACTTCCTACACTCCAGTGAAAGAAGTCCCAGCCTATCTTTATAACTCAAACTTTCCATTCCAGGCAACATCCTGGTAATTCTTTACTGAACCCCCTCCAATTTAATAATATCCTTCCTATAGCAAGAACTGCACGCAGTATTCCAGAAGAGGCCTCACCAACATCCTGTACAACTTTGCGTGATGTCCCAACTCCTACACTCAAAGATCTGAGCAATGAAGGCAAGCGTGCTAAATGCCTTCATAACCACCCTGAATACATATGTTGCAAAATTCAAAGAATTATGTACCTGAACCCCTAGGTCTTTCTGCTCTACAAAACTATGCAGGGCCCTATCATTAATTGTGTAAGTCCTGAACTTGTTTGTTTTACCAAAATGCAATACCTCACATTTTTGATGCCTTTAATGTTCTAGAAATCTACTTATTACTTACTGAAATCTACTCAGAGACTTGGTCTCCACAGCTTAATATGGTACAGAATTCACCACATTCTGGGTGAACAAATTTCTCCATCTCCACCTAAATGGCCTACCATGTATCCTGAGACTGTGAAGCCTTGTTCTAGAAACCCTAGACTGGGTAAACATTAGTATTCCAACATCCAGTCTCTCCAGCCCTGTTGTAATTTTGTATATTTAAATGAGATCTCCTCTTATTCTTCTAAACTCGAATTAATACAGATTTAGTCCACTGAATCTTTCCTCATAGAATATCCAAGGAATGTCTGAGTCAGTTCGCTCAATTGGCTGGATGCCTGGCTTATGATGCAGAGTGATGCCCAGTGTGTGGGTTCAATTCCTACACAAGCTGAAATTACCATGAATGATTCTCCTTCTTAACCTGTTCCCCTTACCTGAGGGCTGGTGGCCCTCAGGTTAAACCACTACCACCATCTCATTCTATTGAGAGAGAGCAATCCTATTGTCTGATAGGACTGTGGCAACTTTACTTTGCCATTCTAGAAATCAATCAGGTGAGTCTTCACTGCACTCCATCAATGACTGGGTGATCCTTCCTTAAGGGGATAAAAGCTGTACACAATACTGCAGTACAGACTCACCAAGGCTCTATACAGCTGTCATTGCACATCCTTTTGCAGTAAAGGTTAACATACCATTTGTCTTCCTAATTGCTTACTTTCAGTGACTGAAGTACAAGGTCACTCAGGTCCTTTCCTCCATCAGCATTTCCAAATCTATTGCTATTTAAATAATACTCTGCCATTCTGGTTTTCCTACTGAAGTGGATAGCTTCACTTTTATTCATATTATACTGCATGAAATAACCACATAGAGGTGGGTATCCCGTCACCAAGTCACCTTCTACTTATGCATGGAATGTCCTTGACATTGGCCCAGCTTCCTCAGGGCCAACTGTCAAAGTGTCAGAATATGGGGGGAGGCAATGGCCTTGTGGTATTATCACTGGCCTAATAATCCAGAAACTCCGCTAATGTTCTGGAGTCCTGGGTTCAACTCTTGCTACGGTGGAATTTGAATTCAATAAAAAAAATGGAAATTAAGGGTCTAATGATGACCAGGAAATCATTGTCA